GTCGCCGGAATAGTCCCCGGAACGGTAGGGGTGGTGGAGGTGAGGTGAGTTAATTATATTATATTAGAATTAAATATTTAATAAATTTATTTAATAATTAATTAATAAAAATATTTTTAATTAATAAATAAATACATGTTTGCATTTTGAAACTTGACACCTAAAAATTGAATTGTGTCAAAGTTAAACCTGACTTTTGAATTTTTCCCTCTTATTAATTTAGGTTTGGCCCATTATAAAAAAAATGATGTTATTAATATTTTAACCCGATCAGTTACATGAAAGCCCATGTGAAATGATAGCCCACACCTTTTGTTTTATTTTCCAAGTGGTTAAAATCTTATTTAATTTTAATTAAATAATTGAGATAATGTTTCCATATTATCTCTTTTAATTAAATTGAAATTTTATATGATTGAGATAAAATCAAATTCCAATTGAGATAATATGTTGATTTTGTCTATCTTATTTAACGTTAAAAGATAATTAAGATATTGTTTTAATTTTATCTTTTTAATTAAGTTGAAATTTTAAAATGATTGAGACAATATGTTGATCTAATCTATATCTTATTTAACATTAAAAGATAACTGAGATAATGTTTTAATTTTATCTCTTTTAATTAAAATTGAAATTTTAAATTACTTTATTTAATTTTATAAATTATGGAGATAATTTTTTTTTTAATTTTAAATTCATTATCATATCTCATTAACCAAAATATGGTTAAGATAGTGATAAGATTTAATCACTTTTAAAATTTAAAGCTCAATTGAATTACAACTCTCAAAGCATGATGGTCCATATAAATAGGTATCATATGTTTCCCTTTTCAAGTATATTCATTTTTCTGTGAAATACACACAAAGGGAAAAATGGAAAGGTTCTATATTTCAATAAAAGAAACATTACACGAAACCTTACCGTTTCGCCATTATAACTTCACACAAGTATCTCACTTTTTCACAAAGGGGAAAATGGAAAGGTTCTATATTGCATTAAACTCAAACTAGATCACCGAAGAAAAGAAACCACTATCTTGAGAAGCAAAGCAAATTGAAGCATATTCTTTGTTTGTAAGACATTCTTATTTCTTCAGTAGTAGTTTTTTTCCTCCAAGATCACATACAGTTGAAGTAAAAAAGTTGTAATCAAAACAGAAAATAAGTGCGCTTCTAAGAAGAATGATCTAATGTATAGTTATGGCAGCTTCTTAATGATCTAGGATCATGACTGCATTCAAAAAAGTTGTCAGTAAAGCATGCCTTCAGTTTTTAGTTAAGCCTTCGTCTAGGATGAATTTATATACGGTTTAATTTATAAACAAATAGAAATTAGTGGTGGATAGTACTTGAGGGTCCATTAGAATGTGTGGTTGAAAATAAAGTTTGACCCATTATAAATGATTTATAAATTTTGCCAAACGAAGGCTAATATATAAAGTTTGTTTGAGCCCCACTAAGAATAGATTTTGTAATATGATATTTTGGAGAATGTGTAGTTAAAAAGTAAGAAAAATTTTGGGTTTATATGTGGAATTATTTTATTGGGAGAATTTTTGGTTGAAAATGAGTTTAGAGAAAAATGAAATTTTAAAGATGAGGCTCAAACAGGGGCATAGTAATATAACACAAGAAAGACCTTTAGGCGCCCTAATATTTGCTATCTAACGTAATTCTTCACATAAATAATTATCCCTGACGCCAACACCAAATAATTATCGGATAAATCTTCAATTTGAGTTGAAGAAAAGTTGTCATGAAGCATAATAGACTACGTCAAAAGTAGAAATAGTAAAGTCCAGAGGAGTAGACAAACCAAGTCATATTAGAGTACCCATTGAAACAACAATGAAATACAACTATCACCTGTTCAAGTATTTCCCGTTGCCCACGTAATAGAGCCGCGCTGTTACAAAAGAAATGATGGCAAAATCAATGAAAAATAAAGCTAACCAGTTTTTAGAACTAAGTCAAGAGTACTTACGGAACTATAGAAGATGCAAGAGAGCCAATTTGAGAGAGTTGCCACTGTCGATATCTTCTAATCTGGACGTTGATAATATCACCATCCCCAATAGACTCTGCAGCACGGGCAAGCAAGCTCATCCTTTTCATTCCGTTGTCATCTTTCCCAGCTGAACTTGGCCTATAATTGATATAGTTCTCCTGCAATTGACAAGTATTTAACATGCACATATACACACAAACTTCATCTAGTACCAATTTTTTATACACAAAATATGATTTCTGATTTTTTTTTTTTTTTTAAATATGTAATCAAATATTGATTTAAAAGACAATTGACTATATAAATTAGTAGGTCGAAAGAAGCAACAAACAGCAGAACACACTTACTACATAGAAACAAACTCGGTACACCAACATTCATGAAAAATAAGAAGTCATTTAAACATCTCAAATAGAGCAGCTCAAAATAATTAAATTGATAACAAGAATGAACTTGTTGGGGAATATTGGGCCAATGTCTCAGTGAGGGGGGAGGGAAGGAGAGAGAGAGGTTATAGGAAGCAAGCAGAATGAGTGAGACAGGAGATAAGGAGAAAAATGAGCTCACAAACAGCACGCTTGACAGAAAACATTGTTTCGGGAGAATCCAGGTAAAAAATTAGCATGTTAACTAGAATTCAAATCCATAAGATCAATGGGGGTCCAGACAGGTGTGCTAGACAAGGATAAAACCATAAATCTTACAAACAAATTACGTACTGATTTCAAAATTTTCCGCAGTTACATTCCTCTTAATCTAGATATTCTGAACCTTGGAGAGCACAAAAAGTGATTTATCCAGTTTATGCCTTTCTGCTTATTGTTGCACCACCTCATCTAAAAGCTTAAACTGTTAAAGAAGGGACACATTTACTTATTCAGATTTAGTCTTCAAAACGCAATTTTCACAAATTGGTGAGGCAAGACTTGAACACCAAGTTTTTGTCTCGGAAACCACAGTAAACACCTCATCCAAAAGCTTAATCGGTTAGAGGGGGCACATTTATTTATTTGAACTTGGTCTTCAACGCTAGACATAATGATCATGCATCACACATCTTTGTAAACCAATTTCTACTAGTCCAAAGCTGTTTGTAACACATACATTTCAACATGTTTGTGCAGCATAAAAAGGATAGAAAAGGAATGGAAAAAAAGTAGACCAGGTATATCCAAACTGAAAAACATGTGCAACTAGTACGATGAGTCAAATAGTGATTTATGGCTCAGTAAACTATGAAATGTTAATCTTGAGAATACATCATACCTGAATAATTAGTGGGACAAGATCGGGATCACTCATGCTAAGGTCAATTCTCTCATCCATTCGCAGCTTTCCAGCATTGAAATTAAACAGCCTGTATCAGCAAAATGTACCTTAGGAGCTGGAATTTCTTCATTTTATTTAGTAGATAATTGTAATAAAGTTTCCATTTTAGTAAGGAGCACTACTTATAGATAATTGTAGATGTTATGGTCCTAATGGATTCGGGATTCCCAATGATAAGATATAATAGTGCAGCAGTTCGCGATTGGACATCTACTCCCCCGCAAAGCGATCTCTCTCCTCACTGTTTTGTACTTCTCTTCTTTGTTAGGCTGCTTAGGCAAATTAGTTGAAATGGGAGTTGCAAAGACTATTCTTTTATATAAATAAAGTTTTTTGATTGTTTAATTTTTTTCGACAGGCAATTAGTGGACACATCAGTTTTAACTCGTGTCACCATATTCTAGGGGTGGGGCGGGGCCCCTGCCCCATACCCACCTCGTTACACGTTTCAAGCGGGTCGGAGCGGGTCCCTTGCCCCATTTACTATCCTTTTTTTATTTTTATTTTTTTAAGTTTTTGATAATTCATTTTATTTCTCCCATTCATTAAAATGAGACAGTAATATATTTTTTAATATATTTATTTATTTTTAAAAGTTAAATTATTCAAATATATTTGGTAAACTAAGGCTTTTATTGATTGTTATATTTCTTAGATAATCTTCGTTGCTATTTTCTATTAGAACTAATGAAAATATATTTTTTTAATTTATTTATTTATTTTTAAAAGTTAAATTATTCAAATATATTTGGTAAACTAAGGCTTTTATTGTTTGTTATATTTCTTAGATAATCTTAGTTGCCATTTTTTATTAGAACTAATGAAATTGTGTTGAGTTTTTAATCTTCGTTGCTATTTTCTATTAGAACTAATGAAAATATATTTTTTTAATCTATTTATTTATTTTTAAAAGTTAAATTATTCAAATATATTTGGTAAACTAAGGCTTTTATTGTTTGTTATATTTCTTAGATAATCTTAGTTGCCATTTTTTATTAGAACTAATGAAATTGTGTTGAGTTTTTCATTTAAAGTATTAAATTCTAATATAAAAGAAAAAAATTAAATGGAACGGGGGAGGGACGGGACAGGGCGGGGTGCTTGTTACTCGTACTTGCTCCGTCCCCGACCTAAATACCCGATTAAGCGGGTAATCCCACGGGTATCGAGTTTGCTGGTTTTTTTGCCATTACCATATTCGCCAGTAATGAATCAAAAGTCAATCTATCAAAGAAATTAGAACCACTGACAAGGAACAAAAGGGAGGTAAAAAGACTATCCCACATGAAAATAGCATAGCTAGAACAAAGGATGAATAGAGAAACACACGATTAGTATTTAAGAGACTAAACAAAGATTGATGTGAGACATACTTATCAACAGCTGTAAAGGGTGATATATCTTCATCCTTTGAACTGATTTGAAGGCGGCGTTTAATGTCATCGAATTTGATGACAGACATGGAGAGACTCATATACTGCAGTTGGTTCAAGGCCATACGCATGTCTCCATTAACTCTCTCTGCCAATTCCTCAAGTGCAATCTATGATTAGAAACAAAACATCATCTCAGCACATCCCTAGATAGACAATCACAAAACAGAGGTAAACAGAAGAAAAGAAAGAATAATAGAAATGAAAATGATATAATACATATAGAAATATCGTAGAGGTATGCTCAGATGTAGAAAAGATATAAGCTTTAAAATGCAAGAATTTCAAAAAACCGCCGCCGCCGCCTCCACCACCACCACCACCACCAGAAAGATAGATGATCAGAGTATTTATCATTTCCTTTCTGCCTCTAGGCTCATATCTTTATATAAAAGTCAGCAGAGAATAGATCAAAATCGAATTATTTGTCTGGGAAGAATAAAATACTTCATCAATTAACCAAACTGCGTCAGATGCTAATTATTTGTGGCTTCTATATTACACTTTTCACTTGCGAGAAAGGTAAAACATTAATGTGCAAAATGGAGGTATCTGTGAGTGAAGATCAGACTAGTCTCATTTAATGAAAAAATACTAGGAATAGATATTTTCAAACTNAATCTAACTCCATACAAAGGCAGTGCTAAATTTTATTTCATATAGATAGCGGCATGTTTTCCAGCCTATAGGCAATGAAAAAGTTTCCAATTTAAATTATGCGACGGATCTAATTCCATATAGCCTATGGTACCTTTTCCACATCCTGCTAGTAATAGAATAATAGCTTTTCTTCTTTTGGGGAGCCAGAAAGATAGATGATCAGAGTATTTATCATTTCCTTTCTGCCTCTAGGCTCATATCTTTATATAGAAGTCAGCAGAGAATAGATCAAAATCGAATTATTTGTCTGGGAAGAATAAAATACTTCATCAATTAACCAAAATGCGTCAGATGCTAATTATTTGTGGCTTCTATATTACACTTTTCACTTGCGAGAAAGGTAAAACATTAATGTGCAAAATGGAGGTATCTGTGAGTGAAGATCAGACTAGTCTCATTTAATGAAAAAATACTAGGAATAGATATTTTCAAACTTATACAAGTTTAGGCCCTCATAACCATATAACTGGTTACAAAGAATCTCCACCTTAGTTATATCGCATCCAATCAAAGATGCAAGTATCAATTCCATGTGAACTCCAGCTAGATATAAGAATTAAGATTGCCGTGAAAGTCACAGAAAGAGCAATACCTTTATTTGACAGAAAAAAAGTGTTTTTGAGAGAGAGTACCTCATTAACTTCAAGTCCTTCTTGCTTGGCTATCTGCGCTAACCTTTTCCCCATCTGTAATTGGCATAATAGTTTTGTCAAAATGTTAATCAAGTCAATTGTACAAAGTAACAAGCAACAATTTCCATTTCATTTTGCTATTTTGTTACTATGTTCATCAAAAATAGATGCACACACAACAGATTTGGGAAGCTGGGAGAAGATTTTTAGAACAAGATCATATATTTTTTGTTGTGAATTAAAATTTTCAACTAAAACAGCATCTAAATCCTCCATAAAAATTTCCAGTTTTAACCAGTTTGTTATATTGCTGCGGTAGGGGTCAAGCACAAGTTTAAAACATAAGCAGATTATAGCTATACACAAACCAGAGCTCAGCGCCAAATAGAGACCGACTACTATGAATCACATTTTCCAGCCAATAATGACGATTGGAGGACTTATAGGACCAAAATGCATGGCCAGTTTTGTTGCATCCTCTCTTGCTAGAAAAACAATTAAAGTACAATACTCTCTTACAACCCGAATTATCACTGAAATCTGAAGCAGCAATATAAGCACACTTCTATAATTATCTGAAGTTCTAATTGCGACTCTGTGGGTGCTATTGACACACGACATGTCTATATAAATGGCCGAACTTCTGAGATAGTGAGATCAAGACATTTACCTTCAGTTACAATAGAATGCTTATAAACTATGCTAAAATAGACAATTTGATATCTATTATACTC